CAGGGGACACCAGCCTGCCAGGGCCAGCGTGGGGCTGGGGACAGTGGGTTGGAGCCATGGCATCCGCCAAGGACTTACCAGCGCGGCCAAGGGTCTGGACTGGAAGGGAGAAGGGACAGGACTCAGTGGGGGTGGCACTTCGGGGATAGTAGCACAGGGACACGGGATGTGGGGGCTGTTCCTGAAAGGTCTCTTTGGGAACACGTGTGTGGCACACAGTTCTTGAGGACAGGGACACAGCAGCTAAGACATGCTCAGGCATGGGGACCCCCTGCTGCCTCAGGTCACCCCTGCCAGCCCCACAGCCACACCCCCATGACCTTGTGCTCATGATCCCATTCCTTTGGCACCTGTCCCCATGGCCGAAGCACAGGGTGCTTGTCCCCTTGTCCCTCTCCCTGAATCCCTGTGTCCCTGTCCCCACAGCTGCCCCAGCCCCAAGGTTCCTTCTGCCACATCCTTTTCTCCACATCTCCATCCACCTGTTCCTGCCCCACGTTCCAGCTCCCCTCCCTGTCCCCAGTTCCTGTCCCCACATCCACCCCACAACTCTGCTCACACTGGGCTCCATGCCCTGCTGGCCTTGGGGACGTCAGGGAACCCGGCAGCCCCCCTGTGCCCCCTCCCCTCCCCATCCCAGGAGCAGCGCCACCTTCCCGGCCATCCCGGTGTCCCCAGCCATGAGGACTGGCTGTCACTCTTTTCCAGGGGTGGCTGTCCCCTGGCTGGCAGCTCTTTAGCCAAAGGGGAAGGAAGCGAGGTCTGGTGTCACCTTCATGTGGAGGTGGCCCGCGGTGGGGGCAGTGTGGACACAAGCTGGGGACCAGATGGGGACAAGGTTGGCTGGGACAAGGTGAGATGTGGGGTTCCCAGGAGTGGGGAGTTCAGGGGGTTTTTGGAGTCAGGGATGGGTGTCCAGGGAAATGGGGGTCTCAAGTGATGGGGTCCTTGGGAAAAGGGTGTCCTGAGTAGTGGGAGTCATTCGGGATTGGGATAGGGGACCACAGGGCTGGGGAGACCAGGGATGAGAGTGCCAATGGAACAAGGGCTCCAGGGATTTGGGCTCATGGCATGCGTGTGCCAAGGATGGAGTGCAGGGGGTATGAGGGGTCCCATGTGCATGAGGGTCATGGGAGAATCAATGTCCTGGGGGAAGGGAGATTGCAGGAGATGGAATGAACAGGAGAGGGTTTCTTGGGAATGGGGAGCTGGGCCATGGAAATCCTGGGAAATGTCAGTACTGGGATGGGGGTCCCAGGCAAAGCGGGACAAAAGGAATGGGTGTCCCATGATGTGATTTCCACGGGAATGGGGGTCCCAGGGATGGGCAGTGGCAGAGTGGGCACAAGGGTCACAGCTCCTTCCCTGAGTGCCTCAGATTTTGGGGAAACCCAGGGCCCAGTACAGCCCCCGCTAGGTGCCAATGGCCTGGGGGTCACCCCAGACAGATTCCGAGGGGCTCTGGGTCTGTGGAGCTGCTGCAGAGGTGAGAATTCTGTGGTAGGAAAAAGGCCTGTCTGTGGTTTGCTCAACCCTGCAAGAAGCACAAAACCCAAAGGGAGCACAAGCAGTGGCTCTGTGAGGGCCTTTGATGGTTTCTAGAGCAGGGCTGGCTGGAAACCCCTCCTGCAGGGGCAGCTGTGAGGGAGCCAGTCCAGAAATGCAACAAGTGATCACTTTGTCCCTTGCAGCAAGGTCCTGGGAGAGGCCCAAAATCCCTGCAAAGACAACAACAATCTTCTCAACAACCTGCCTGGGTCCCTCCTCCTTTCTGTCTCAAACGTGCAGCCCTTTGGCATGGCATGGGAAGAATATTGGTGTTCTAGTTCAGCTGCCAGACAAGAGGGAAAAGTGTGGAAATACTGAGCAGTGACCCTGCCCCGTGGCCATGGTGGGGCTGTAGGAAGTGACCCTGTGTGGATTCCAAGTGTCCCCAAAGCTGCTCCATCCCTTCCCTCCACACCCCAAGGTTCCTTCTGCCACATCCTTTTCTCCACATCTCCATCCACCTGTTCCTGCCCCACGTTCCAGCTCCCCTCCCTGTCCCCAGTTCCTGTCCCCACATCCACCCCACAACTCTGCTCACACTGGGCTCCATGCCCTGCTGGCCTTGGGGACCTCAGGGCACCCCGCAGCCCCCCTGTGCCCCCTCCCCTCCCCATCCCTGGGCTGTCAGGCCCGTGCCCAGGGCACTCACCCCACAGGAGCAGCGCCACCTTCCCGGCCATCCCGGTGTCCCCAGCCATGAGGACTGGCTGTCACTCTTTTCCAGGGGTGGCTGTCCCCTGGCTGGCAGCTCTTTAGCCAAAGGGGAAGGAAGCGAGGTCTGGTGTCACCTTCATGTGGAGGTGGCCCGCGGTGGGGGCAGTGTGGACACAAGCTGGGGACCAGATGGGGACAAGGTTGGCTGGGACAAGGTGAGATGTGGGGTTCCCAGGAGTGGGGAGTTCAGGGGGTTTTTGGAGTCAGGGATGGGTGTCCAGGGAAATGGGGGGTCTCAAGTGATGGGGTCCTTGGGAAAGGGTGTCCTGAGTAGTGGGAGTCATTCGGGATTGGGATAGGGGACCACAGGGCTGGGGAGACCAGGGATGAGAGTGCCAATGGAACAAGGGCTCCAGGGATTTGGGCTCATGGCATGCGTGTGCCAAGGATGGAGTGCAGGGGGTATGAGGGGTCCCATGTGCATGAGGGTCATGGGAGAATCAATGTCCTGGGGGAAGGGAGATTGCAGGAGATGGAATGAACAGGAGAGGGTTTCTTGGGAATGGGGAGCTGGGCCATGGAAATCCTGGGAAATGTCAGTACTGGGATGGGGGTCCCAGGCAAAGCGGGACAAAAGGAATGGGTGTCCCATGATGTGATTTCCACGGGAATGGGGGTCCCAGGGATGGGCAGTGGCAGAGTGGGCACAAGGGTCACAGCTCCTTCCCTGAGTGCCTCAGATTTTGGGGAAACCCAGGGCCCAGCACAGCCCCCACAAGGTGCCAATGGCCTGGGGGTCACCCCAGACAGATTCCAAGGGCCTCTGGGTCTGTGGAGCTGCTGCAGAGGTGAGAATTCTGTGGTAGGAAAAAGGCCTGTCTGTGGTTTGCTCAACCCTGCAAGAAGCACAAAACCCAAAGGGAGCACAAGCAGTGGCTCTGTGAGGGCCTTTGATGGTTTCTAGAGCAGGGCTGGCTGGAAACCCCTCCTGCAGGGGCAGCTGTGAGGGAACCAGTCCAGAAATGCAACAAGTGATCACTTTGTCCCTTGCAGCAAGGTCCTGGGAGAGCCCCAAAATCTCTGCAAAGACAACAACAATCTTAACAACCTGCCTGGGTCCCTCCTACTTTCTGTCTCAAACGTGCAGCCCTTTGGAATGGCCCAGGAAGAATATTGGTGTTCTAGTTCAGCTGCCAGAGAAGAGGGAAAAGTGTGGAAATACTGAGCAGTGGCCCTGCCCCGTGGCCATGCCCAAAATCCCTGCAAAGACAACAACAATCTTCTCAACAACCTGCCTGGGTCCCTCCTCCTTTCTGTCTCAAACGTGCAGCCCTTTGGCATGGCATGGGAAGAATATTGGTGTTCTAGTTCAGCTGCCAGACAAGAGGGAAAAGTGTGGAAATACTGAGCAGTGACCCTGCCCCGTGGCCATGGTGGGGCTGTAGGAAGTGACCCTGTGTGGATTCCAAGTGTCCCCAAAGCTGCTCCATCCCTTCCCTCCACACCTGAGTGAGGGCTTGCAGAAATTGTGGCATAAAGCCACCAGAGGGGCTGTTGTGGACCCAAGACCTGCCTGGGGTCAGGTGCTGCCTCGGCCTGGAAGCCTCATCATTTTTCAAATTAGAGAAAGTTTTAGCGATGGGTCTTCTTTCCATTCCGGGAAAGTTCCCATTTCCCTTGACAGGTATTTCTCATTTAAACGAGTTGCCAACTCCTGGGTTCCAGTGGGGATGGGACAGACACACCAAGAGAAGATGGGGTCAGGGACATGGCCACGTCATGCTCTGCCTTTTAAGCCAGTTGGGCCACTAAGACCCCTCTCCCCAGGTGGCGCTTCTGGTCACCCAGCCACTCAGGAGCTGCTGGCTTTGTCAGAGTGTCACACTGTCCCCAGTGTTCCATGGCTGACAGACTGACTGACAGACAGTGCCCTGTCTCACCAAAAGCAAGGCCTGACCCAGCCCTGCCACTCATGGGTGTTCCAAAATGTCACCAGACATCAAAGTTTTCCTGTCTTCATCACCCCACCCTGTGCCATGGCCTGATCCCGACTGCCCTCAGAAAGGGGGAGGCTCCAGAACCCCCACAGGGCCTTTGTGCCATCCTGTTGTGGGGAACATGGCAGAGGAGGGGTTTGGGACAAAGGACAAGAGAATCCAGAGCCTCCTGAAGGCCGCTTTATCCATCAAAAAGATGGGGTCAGGGACATGGCCACGTCATGCTCTGCCTTTTAAGCCAGTTGGGCCACTAAGACCCCTCTCCCCAGGTGGCACTTCTGGTCACCCAGCCACTCAGGAGCTGCTGGCTTTGTCAGAGTGTCACACTGTCCCCAGTGTGCCATGGCTGACAGACTGACTGACAGACAGCGCCCTGTCTCACCAAAAGCAAGGCCTGACCCAGCCCTGCCACACACAGGTGTTCCAAAATGTCACCAGACATCAAAGTTTTCCTGTCTCTGACACCCCACCCTGTGCCATGGCCTGATCCTGACTGCCCTGGAAAAGGGGAGGCTCTGGAACCCCCACAGGGCCTTTGTGCCATCCTGGAGTGGGGAACATGGCAGAGGAGGGGTTTGGGACAGGGGACAAGAGAATCCAGAGTCTCCTGAAGGCCACTATGGCCATCAAACCAGTGAAGGTCCAGGGCCCTGGCAGGTTCCTCTGGCAGAGGAAAGGTGCTGGGGGAAATATCTGGGGTTTGTTACTTTTTGGGGGATTTCTCTGGATATCGGGGTTCCTTTTGTGCCCCTTTTTACTCTGGACCTTATTGCTGTTGCTATTTGTTTTATTGTCTCTCATTGCTGTTTCAGGAAATTGTTCTCCCATTAGCCCTTTGGGATTTTTTCCTCCATAGGGAGGGAGAAGGGCAGTTTTTAGTGACAGCACCCACACAGGAGTCGGTGCCCATGGGTGGGGACCCCCTGTGGTCCCAGTTCCCCCAGTGTCACAGCACATTCCCGTCGATGTCACCGGGTTCACATGGTCGCTGGTGGGGTCCCTGCAGCTCCGCGTAGGTCACCTGGGGTTCCTGGAGTGTGGTGGCACAGGGGGACACTGCAAGAGACACAGGCTGTGGGGTCTGGGTGGGGTGACAGTTGTGGATGACGTGTCCCTCTGCATGTGTTCTCCCTGTACTCACCCCCTGCCCTCTTGGTGACCACGATGTGGGTGTACAGCACCTCCCCCTCCTCTGGGGGGGCTGGGGGTTCTGGGAGGGGCCTGAGGGAACAAAAGGGGATGTGGGGGAGGGAATGGGAGGCCTTGGGTGTTGGGGTAAAAGGGGAGAGTGGTTTGTGCCTCCCACTCACCTTTCCTGCTGCTTCCTGGCAGCTGCAGTGGAAAGAGGGAAGGGGTGACTGGGTGACTGTTGGTCCCAAGGCCCTGACCCCTCTCAGGATTCCTGAACCTCCTCAGGACTCTCAATTCCCCACAGGACCCCCAAGTATCCCTGAAGACCCCCAGAATTCATGAACCTCCTCAGTGCCCTCCAACCAACTCAGCCTCAAGAACCAAACCTTATCAGGGACAGAGACCCATCCAAACACCCCCAGGGACCCTGAAAGAACTCACAGCATCCCCGCAGGACCCTCCACCAAACCTTAAAGGGACCCCCAGCCAAGCTCCCCATGCATGGGGCTGTGGGTGTGGCCCTATTGCTCCCTGGCTCTGGGGACCTCTACAGCTCCCTGGGACCCTTGTCTCTTCATTGTCACTTACCCACATGGTGCCACCTTTTCCAGGCCACAATGACACCCACGAACAGAAGGAACAAAAGGGCCCCAGCGACCCCTGCTGCCACTGCAAGAAACAGAGGGGGACACATCAGGCTCACCACTCACCTCAGGTGCCTTGCACCTCCCGGAGACCCTGTGTGACCATACCTTTGTTGCACTGTCCCCTCACTGTCACAGCCAGGACCAGCTCTGGGCTGAGTGCCCGGAACATGCTCCAGCCCCGGCAGCGCAGTGTCACCATGTCCCCCTCCAGCAGTGCCCGCGCTGGCACCTGCAGCACCAGCAGGTCTGGGAGACAGAGGGGTCCTGTCACACCTGATGGCACTGGGATGCCCCCACTGGGTCACACCCAGCGCACCAAGGGTCCCCAATTCCAACACGGGGTTCCGCACACTGGGGTGCTCTGGGATGTCCCCAGAGCAGGGGAGGGGCTCTGGTCACACAGGAGGTGACCCATGGAGTGGAGCCCAGTCAGAGCCTGTGGGGTCCTCGCGGGTGCCAGGTTGGGGATACCCAAACCCCCCTCACCGTCTGAAACTTTCACAGGGGGGCTGCGCCCAGTGTCGGGTCTGTCACAAGTGTAGGTGCCGCTCTCGGTGACAGTGATATTGTCGTGTCCCTGCTGCCTCCATCGCTCCCCATCCTTGTACCAGGTGCTGGCACCGGCTGTCCCTGAGCCCTGGCAGGTCAATGTCACCGAGTCCCACCACACCGCCGGCCTCCAGGGGGGCTCCACGAGGAGCTGGGTGGTCTGGGCACCTGCGGGTGACAGGGGACACCAGCCTATCAGGGCCCGCTTGAGGTTGGGGACAGCGGGGTGGGGCCATGGCATCCCCCGAAGACTCACCAGCGAGGCTGAGGGTCTGGGCTGGAAAGGAGAAGGGACAGGGCTCAGTGGGGGTGGCACTGTGGGGACAGCAGCATGGGGGCAGGGTGTGAGTTCTGTCCCCAAATTGTCTCTGTGGGGACAGCAGCTTTTGAGGGAAAGTGTGTCTGAGTGCTCCCCAAAAGATTTGCATGGCCAGGGGACATGTCTGTGTCACAGCCACCCATGCACCAAATCTGTGTGGCACGGACATCTTGGGAGCAGGGACACCGAGGCCACCCTGCACTGAGGCAGAACATGGGGACACTGTGGACACCTCTGGCACAAGGACACCACGGACACAGCCCATGCTGGTCCAGGTCACCCCCAGGGACACCTGGACACCAAGGACACCATGGACACAGCCCATGCTGGCCCAGGTCACCCCCACCAGCTCATGATCCTATCCTCATGATCCCATCCCTACGGCCGCTTCCTCACGCTTCTCGTCCCCTTTTGTCCCTGCATCCCAGTTCCCTTGTCTCTATCCCCAGAGCGACCTGAGCCCAAAGGTGCCAGTCCCTGTTGCAGTGTCAGGCTGTGAGGGAAGCAGTCCAGAAAAGCAGCAATTGATCATTTTGTCCCTTGCAGCAAGGTTCTGGGAGAGACTCAAAACCCTGGAAAGGCAACAACAATCTGCTCAACAACCTGCCTGGGTCTCTTCTACTTTCTGTCTCAAGCCTGCAGCCCTTTGGCATGGCATGGGAAGAATATTGGTGTTCTAGTTCAGCTGCCAGAGAAGAGGGAAAAGTGTGGAAATATTGAGCAATGTCTCTTCCCCATGGCCGTGGTGGGGCTGTAGGGAGTGACCCTGTGTAGATTCCAAGTGTCCCCAAAGCTGCTCCATCCCTGCTCTCCACACCTGAGTGAAAGGCTGAGGGTTTGCAGGGATTGTGGCATAAAGCCACCAGAGGTGCTGTTGTGGACCCAAGACCTTCCTGGGGTCAGGTGCTGCCTTCCTTCCATTCGGAGTCATGGAGAGCGGTCGCGGGTGTTGCGCAAGGTGTGTGCCTGACCCTGGGACACCTCTACACTGCCAGTGAGCACTAGGATCCAACCTGCTGCCTTCGCAACTTCTTCCTGCTGACGGTGATGGTGCCAGGACCGATTGGTGCCGGTGAGTTTGCAAAAGGAGCGATTTCCCCTCCTGGCTCCCGCCCGAGGCCGCCATGGCCCCTGAGGGGATGGAGCTCCACCGGGGCGCCCCCTGCTGGCCGGGAGCGCTCCCTGCAGCGCCCCCTGCTGGCCGCGGTTATAACTGCCACACAAACCAACAGCGCTGAGCGGGAGGGAAAGTTCTGGGTTTGTGTTGTTTGTTCTCTTCTGGTTTATAAATTGCCTCGTAACGAGCTGTTAGTCCTTTTCCTACACTTTGGCCTGGAAGCCCCAACATTTTTGAAATTAAAGAAGTTTTAGGCATGTGTCTTCTTTCCCTTCCAGGAAACTTCCTTGGCAGATATTTCCCTTTTAAACGAGTTGCCAACTCCTGGGTTCCAGTGTGGATGGGACAGACACCCTAAGAGAAGACAGGGTGAGGGTCTTGGCCACGTCATGCTATGCCTTTTAAGGCAGTTGGGCCACCAAGCCTGGCAGCTGGGCCACCAGCCTGGCACTTCTGGTCACCCAGCCACTCCAGAGCTGGCTTTGGCAGAGTGTCACACTGTCCCCAGTGTGCCATGGCTGACAGACTGATGGACAGACAGGGCCCTGTCTCACCAAAAGCAGGGCCTGACTCAGGGTCACCCAGCCACTCAGGAGCTGGCTTTGGCAGAGTGTCACACTGTCCCCAGTGTGTCATGGCTGACAGACTGATGGACAGACAGGGCCCTGTCTCACCAAAAGCAGGGCCTGACTCAGCCTTGCCACACATAGGTGTTCCAAAATGTCTCCAGACATCAAACTTCGCCTGTCTCTGACACCCCACCCTGTGCCATGGTCTGATCCTGACTGCCCTGGAAAAGGGGGAGGCTCTGGAACCTCCACACGGCCTGTGTGAGGAACCCGGCAGAGGAGGGGCTGGGGACAGGGGACAAGAGAATCCAGAGCCTCCTGAAGGCCACTTTAGCCATCAGAGCAGTGAAGGTCTCTGACAGGTTCCTCTGGTGGGGAATGTCAGTACTGGGATGGGGGTGCTGAGGGAAATGTCTGGGGTTTGTTACTTTTAGGGGGATTTCCCTGGAAATCGGTGTTTTATTTGTGACCATTTGGACTCAGAACCTTGTTGCTGTTGCTGTTAGTTTTATTCTCTCTTGTTGCTGTTCCAAGAAATTGTTCTTCTCTCAGCCCTTTGGGATCATTATGCCTCCACGGGGAGGGAGAGGGGCAGTTTTGAGTGGCAGCACATACACGTGTGGCTGCCCATGGTGGGGGGGATGCCTAATGCCCCCCAGTTCCCCCCATTGTCACAGCACATTCTCATCGATGTCACCGACTTCTCATACTCACCCCTGGTGTCCCTGCAGCTCCGCGTAGGTCATCTGGGGTTCCTGGAGTGTGGTGGCATGGGGGAACATGGCAAGAGACACGGGCTGTAAGATCTGGGTGGGCTGACACCTGTAGGTGATGTGTCCCTCTGCGTGTGTCCCCCCTGTACTCACCCCCTGCCCTCTTGATGACTGCAACACGTGTGTACAGCACTTGCCCCTTCTCTGGGGTGTCTGGGGGATCCAGGGGGGGGCCCTGAGAGAATAAAGGGGATGTGGGGGAGGGAATGGGACGCCTTGGGGGTTGGGGTAAAAGGGGAGAGTGTGGTTTGAGTCCCCTACTCACCTTTCCTGGTTCTTTCTGGCAGCTGCAGAGGAAAGAGGGGAGGGGTGACTGTGAGGTCCCAAGGCCCTGATCCCTCTCAGATTTCCTGAACCCCCACAGGACCCTCAATTCCCTTCAAAATCCCCAAGCAGCATTGAAACATCCCAGAATTAATGAACATCCCCAGTAGGGGAGGGAGAGGGGCAGTTTTGAGTGGCAGCATACACACGTGTGGCTGCCCATGGTGGGGGGGATGCCTAATGCCCCCCAGTTCCCCCCATTGTCACAGCACATTCTCATTGATGTCACCGACTTCTCATACTCACCCCTGGTGTCCCTGCAGCTCCGCGTAGGTCACCTGGGGTTCCTGGAGTGTGGTGGCATGGGGGAACACGGCGAGAGACACGGGCTGTAAGATCTGGGTGGGCTGACACCTGTAGGTGATGTGTCCCTCTGCGTGTGTCCCCCCTGTACTCACCCCCTGCCCTCTTGATGACCGCAACACGTGTGTACAGCACTTGCCCCTTCTCTGGGGTGTCTGGGGGATCCAGGGGGGGCCCTGAGAGAATAAAGGGGATGTGGGGGAGGGAATGGGAGGCCTTGGGTGTTGGGGTAAAAGGGGAGAGTGTGGTTTGAGTCCCCTACTCACCTTTCCTGGTTCTTTCTGGCAGCTGCAGAGGAAAGAGGGGAGGGGTGACTGTGGGGGCCCAAGGCCCTGATCCCTCTCAGATTTCCTGAACCCCCTCAGGACCCTCAATTCCCTTCAAAATCCCCAAGCAGCATTGAAACATCCCAGAATTAATGAACATCCCCAGTACCTCCCAACCAACTCAGCCTCAAGAACCCAAAGCCCGGCAGGGATAGAGACTCCCCAAACACTCCTAGTACCCCTGAAAGCACCCCCAACATCCCTGCATCACCGCCCAGCACCTTCCCAATCCCTACAGGACCCCAGACAAGGTCACAATTCTGGGGCTGTGAGTGCCACCCTATTGATCCCCCACTTGGGGGGCCTCAACAACTCCCTGGAACCCCTGTCCCCCCATTGTCACCCACCTACACGATGCCACTGGTACCAGGCCACAATTACACCCATGAGCACGAGGAGGAACAAAAGGGCCCCTCCGACCCCTGCGGCCACTGCAAGAAACAGGGGGGACACATCAGGATCACCCATCACCCCAGGGGTCTTGCACTCCCTGGTCACCCCGTGTGACCCCACCTGTGACCCAGGCTGAGCCAGGTGTCACCTCCAGGGCCAGCTCTTGGCTGAGTGCCCGGAACATGCGGTGCCCGTCCTGTCCCAGCTGGTTGGTGGCCACGCACTGGTAGGTGCCCGAATGTCCCACATCGATGTCCCCCAGCTGCAGGAGGGGAGCCCGGGCCACCTCCTGCCCCTTGTGCAGCCAGGTGAATGTGACAGGGGCTGAGCCCACCTGCACCGAGCTGCACAGGGTCATGTTTTCACCTGCATGCACTTGGTGTGCCAGGGGACTGGGGGTGATGGTGGCATTGGCCACGGGCACTGCGTGGACACATATAGGGTTGGCACCTGCCAAGGTGGGATGGTGGTGCTGTGGGTGGGGTCACTCCCAGCCCAAGGTTCCCACTCACCCAGGATGGTGACATTCAAGGGGTCACTCTCAGCTACACTCTCCCTGTCACTGACCTGGCACCGGCACTGGCCGCTGACATTGTCCCCAGTGTCCTGCAGTTCCAGCTGGTGGTTGGTGCCCAGCAGTGCCCCAGAGCCCTCCCGGCGCCAGAGGAAGGACAGGGGACCTGTCCCTGCAGCCACTGCACATCTCAGCACCAGGCAGTCCCCAAGTGCCACCTCTCCCCCAAGGGGGTTCTGCGCACAGGGACACCCACAAGGGCAGATCCCCTGTGGGGCAACACAGGAGGGAATGGGGACCCAGGAGAGGTGGAGGACCCAGGGCTGCCCGTCCCTGTACCAGGTGGTTGCACTGGCAGTCCGGGGTGGGGCAATGGCATCCCCCAAGGGCTTGCCAGTGAGGCCAAGGGTCTGGGCTGGAAGGGAGAAGGGACAGGGGTCAGTGGGGGTGGCCTTGCAGGGACAGCGGCACCCCGGTTACAGGGTGTGAGGGTCTTCCCCAAATTGTCTCTGTGGGGAGTCAGCAGTTCTTGTGACAAAGTGCGTGGGGGTGGTCCCCAAAAGTTTTGGAGAGGCCAGGGGACATGTTTGTGTCACAGCCACCCATGCACCAAATCTGTGTTGCACGGACACCTTAGGAACAGGGACACCAAGGTCATCCTGGGCTGAGGCAGAACATGGGAACACTGTGGACACCCCGGGCACAAGGACACCACAGACACACCCCATGCTGGCCCAGGTCACTCCCACCAGCTCATGATCCCATCCCCATGGTCCCATCCCCACAGCTACATCCTCACGGTTCTTGTCCCCTTCTGTCCCTGCATCCCAGTTCCCTTGTCCCTATCCCCAGAGCTACCTGAGTCCAAAGGTGCCAGTCCCCACATTCTTGTCCCATCATCCTCATCCCCAAATTCCTACCCCTGTTCCCACCCCCAAAGTCCACAACATCAGTCACAGTCCCACCAAGGTCTAGTGTGAGTAACATGGAAAGCCTCTGCTGGCCTTGGGGACGTCAGGGAACCCGGCACCCCCCCTGTGCCCCCTCCCCTCCCCATCCACAAGGTGTCAGACCCGTGGCCAGGGCACTCACCCCACAGGAGCAGCGCCACCTTCCCGGCCATCCTGCTGTCCCCAGCCATGTGCACTGGCTGTCACTCGCTGCTGTGGCCACCGCTCCCCTGGCTGGCAGCTCTTCGGATGAAGGGGAACGAAGCAAGATCACATCTTGTCCTCACATGTTGGTGGCCCTTGGTGGGGGCAGGGTGGCCACAGGCTGGGGACCAGATGGGGATGAGGCTGGGTGGGACAAGGTGAGATTTGGGGTTCCCAGGCGTGGGGGGCTCAGGGGGTTTTGGGAAGCAGGGATGGGTGTCCAGGGGAATGGGGAGTGCCGGGGATGGGGGTCCCCAGGGAGGAGAGACCAAGGCAATGGGGGTACTAAGGTTGGGCTCCCAGGGGAATGGGTGTGCCAGGGATGGGCAGTGGCTGGGTGGGCACGGGGGTCACAGGTCCTTCACGGGGTGCCTCACATTTTGAGTGACTCAGACCTCAGCACAACCCCCAACGCTGGAGCACCCCAGGGTTGTTCTGGGAGACTCTGTGTCCCTGCCCCACACACCCCTGGGTCAGGTTCCCCCTAATTTCCTGGCTCTGCCATTCCAGGCAACACTTGATGCCCAATGGGTTCAGACAAAATTATACCTCCATACAATAAAAGCAAAAATCTTTCCCAAATAATTTTTTCCTAATAAAGGACAAACTCATCAAAAATCAAACTGATGAGGCATAAAATGCTCTGGTTTTAGAATCCATTGCTCTCCCAACAAGTCGCTCACAAGAAAAACACAAACAAATCCCAAAGAAATGAGACTTTTTGGTTTCCTTTTGCAGCCTGTTTGTGCATCCCACAGCAGGGTTTTCAGGTTTTGTTCAGGAAGGAAGGTCCTGGTCAGTTTGTTTAGCAGATTGTTGTTGTCTTTGCAGTAGTTTTGTGGTTTTCTCAGTCCCTTGGGCAAAGGGACAAATGATCAGTTGTTGCATTTCCGAACTGGTTCCCTCACAGCTGCCCCTGCAGGGTGTGTTTCCAGCAGCCCTGCTCTGAAAATCATCCAAGGCCCTTGCAGAGCCACTGCTTGGGCTCCCTTTGGGGTTTGTGCTTCTTGCAGGGCTGAGCAAACCACAGACAGGCATTTTTTCCCCCACAGAATTCTCACCTCTGCATCAGCTCTAAAGCTGCCAGAATCAAAGCCAAGGGGGATGGGGGGGCACCCTCAGGTCCTGGCTGCCTCCTGGGGCTGGCCAGAGCAGGGCTGGCCAATGGCCATCCCTGTGCAGTGGGGCTGGGACATGGCTGGGCCCCACACTTGGATTGACAGGGGTCCTCAGGATGTGCCACCCCTGGATCAGGCACACAACCAGAAATGTGCAGGGATATTTCCAGAACTGCCACACCTGGCACTGGACACCCCATGCCAGCATTTGTCACCCCATGCCAGCATTTGTGACCCCCTGGGACTTGATCCCCTCTAGACAGGACCTCCTGGATGTGGCCCCCCTGGACAGAACACCCACTTTCCCATCTGACTCTCACTACAAATGGCCTCTTCTTTCTTTTCCATGAAAAAGAAAATGTAAGTGTCGAAGGGGCACAGCCTAACACCATCCCCCAAACGCAACCTACCCTTCCCTGCACCCCCATTCCCCATTTCCATCTCCCCTGGCTCCCCCCAACACATCCCCTGCTCAGGTGCTCCCTGGGATTTTGGAGCCAGGAGCAAGGGTTGAGGGGACAAGACACAAAAGTGAGGAAAATAAAGAAAAAAGAGAAATGAATAGAAAAAAATATCAAGGGCAGGGGAGGGCACAGAAACAGAGCTTCCCATGTGACCCCCATGTGATGCCTGCACAGGAAATGAGCACCCCAGGGGGGCAATGCTGGGCCCTGGGTCACCTCCAAATCTGAGGCACCCTGGGAAGGAGCTGTGACCCATGGGTCTATCCAGCAACTGTGCATCCCCGGCACCCCCATTTCACTGGAAACCCAACCATGGGAGCCCCATTCATTATATCCACTCATCCCTGAACTCCCATCCCAGTACTGACATTCCCCAGGATCTCCATGGCCCAGTACCCCCTTCCCAAGGAACCCTCTCCTCTTCATTCCATCACCTGCAATCCCCTTTCCCTCAGGACCTTGATTCTTCCAGGACCCCCTTTCCCTTGGCAACCTCATTTTGAGGACCCCCATCCTCTGACCCCAAATCCTGGGAGCCAACATTCCCCTGGGATTCCCATCCCTGAGTCCCCCCAGCCCTGGGCATCCCCATTCCCAGAGACTCCCCCTCCTCAGCATCCCCATTCCTTTGGACACCCATCCCTGGCACTCCAAACCCACTGAGCCCTCACTTCTCTGTGCCCCCTTTTCCTCACTGAGGTCCCACTTCCCCTCTCCCATCCCTCCACCTAACTGTCCCCTGGTGTCATCCCCTCCCGCAGGGGTCCCACCCTCAGGGTGTCCGTGGCGGCACAACCCCCGGGGCACAGGTGGCACTGGGGGACTGCCTGGAGCTGAGCTGTGGGGTGGCCATGGGGACAGGTTCCCTGTCCTTCTCCTTGCACCGAGATGGCTTGGGGGCACCACTGGGCACCAGCCCCCACCTGGAGCTGCCCCACACTTGGGACAATGACAGGGACCGGTACCAGTGCTGGGTCAGCAACAGGGACAGCGTGGCCGAGAGTGACCCCTGAATGTCACCGTCCTGGGTGAGCAGGACCCTCAGGCTGGGGGTGACCCCACCACAGCACCCCTATCCTGCTCAGCCAGTGCCAGCCCCGTCTGTGTCCCCGCAGTGCCCGTGGCCAATGTCACCATCACCATCAGTCCCCAGTCACACCAGGTGCATGCAGGTGACCCCGTGACCCTGCACTGCTTGGTGCAGGTGGGCTCAGCCCCTGTCACCTTCACCTTCCTGCACAACGGGCAAGAGGTGTCCCAGGGTCCCCTCCTGGAGCTTGGAGCCATCGATGTGGGACATGCGGGCACCTACCAGTGCGTGGCCACCAACCAGCTGGACGAGCTCCGTGTGTTCCGGGCACTCAGCCCAGAGCTGGTCCTGACTGTGACACCACGACGACATTGGGGTATAGGTGGGGTCACACAGGGTCACATGGGGGGTGCAGGATGCCCAGAATTCTCAGTGACTCTGATGTGTCCCTCTCTGTCCCCAGCAGTGGCTGCAGGGCTCAGCGGGTCCCTGCTGTTCCTGGTCCTGCTCGTAGGTGTCATCTGGGGCTGGCACCGATGGCACCACCGGGGTGAGTGACAATGGGTGGGGATGGGGATTCCAGGGATTGGGATGAAGCCCCCCCAGAGTACGGGGGCCATAGGGTGGCACCAACAGCTCCTGACTTGGGTGAAGCTGAGCCCCCAGACATCTTGGCGGAGGGTCCTGGGGGATTTGGGGATGTCCAGCACGATCATACAGAGATGTTGGGGGTTCTGTCAGGGGTTTTTTGGGGGAGTTTGGGGGCCCTGGGGCCTGGAGGCGTGGCCACGAGTGGGGGGTTTCCTTGTGCGGTTGCCCACAGCTCCCAGTTCCAGTGCTCCCAGTACTCCCACCGACTCCCCATTCCCTCCCCCAGTGCCAGGGGGCACAGCTCCCTTGTCCCTCTTACTGGACACAAAATGCAGCTTTTTGATTAAACTGGGAGGAATGATTTTTATTTGTTCAGCTCTGCCCTGTTTGGCTCAGGAAGGAGGAGGGTCCCAGTCAGGTTGTTGAACCAATCTTTCTTAAAAATTCACAAAATTCAGAATTCAAAGGGTCCCAAAAGGAACAATTTCCAGGGAAGACCCCCACAAAGGAACAAACCCCAGAAGTTGCGCCCAGCACATTTCCTTCACCAGGAAGGATCTGGCAGGCCCCAGACCTTCCTTGCTCTGATGGCCAAAGCAGCCTTCAGGAGGCTCTGGATTCTCTGGTCCCCTGTCCCAAACACATCCTCTGCTGTGTTCCCCACATGATGTTGTCACAAAGGCCCTGTGGGTTTTCCAGAGCCTCCCCCTTTCCAGGGCAGTCGGGATCAGGCCATGGCACAGGGTGGGGCTCAGTTTCCAGTTGGTTCCAGGAGCTCTGGACACCCCTCCAGGTCAAGGCAAGCTGTGTCCTGCTCTCTGCTGCCACAGGAATGGGGACAAAGGCTTTGGCAATTTCCATGGGGGTACCACTTACTTGCCTTGCACTCCAGCTTGTCCTGGAGTTCTGGCATGCCCTGTACAGTCTCTCTCAGTGGCACTGGCACTTGGTTCCGGCCCCTATGGTCCCTGCCACTGTCCACTCTCCACTGGACTCTTGCTCTGGCCATGTGGGACTCTTGTTGGGGGCATTCCCTGGAAATAATTTCTTTTCTGACCCTTGAGATTCTGAATCTTGTTGCTGTTGGTTTTGTTCTCTCATTGCTGTTTGCAGGAAATTGTTCTTCTCTCAGCCCTTTGAGATCTTTGCCTTTTGTGCCTCCACTGGGAGGGGGAGGGGCAGTGGCCCCTGGTTTTTAGTGGCAGCTCAAAATTGGAAAATCCCAGAGCTGAACAAAGAAACCCCATTTCTGCCAGTTTAACCCAAAAGCTGCATTTTGGCCCAATACCAGGGGTCCTTTGCCTCCCTGGCATTGGGAGGAGCAATGGGAAGCCACTGGGAGCATAGGGGTATGTCTTGGGGTGATTTTATGATGATGCCCTATTCCTGATCACCTGCTTTATGCCCAGCAATGGCTGCTGGAGGTTTAAAGTGTGTCTGGGAGAGGGGTGGGAGCCTCGGAGCTCCTGCACTGGCTTTGTTCAAAGCCTCCCTCTGGAAAGTGGGAAAGTGCTGGGTGCAGTGCAGTGTGGATCAGACATTATTTTGTGGCTTAGCTAGCTTGGATTTTTGCTAGCAAAAAGCCTTTTTTTTTTTTTTTTTAGCTTCCCCTGGCCTGCAGAGGCTGCAGTATCAATCCTTTGGTGGCTTCTGGTTTATGTTTTTCTTGATCTGTTTGGCTTAGTTTTGGTCTGAGATCAAACAATTGCCTAGACCATCAGCCGGGAGCCTGCAGGGGCTGCTCCAACCAGCCCAAGAGCTCAGGAAAAGATGAACCAACAAGAGAAAGGACACCAAAATCCACCAGCTTCATCTGCTGTGAGGAGGAGACCAATGCCAGAAGTTCAACAGGTTCCCACTTGTTTTGCCTGAGCTGCTGCACAAACTCTTGTTTCTCCCTTCCCTGAGACAAAAGCCAGCCCCCATTCTGTCCCCCCTTTACCACACAGCCAGCCCATTAATTTCTTGCCATGGCATTTTGGGGAAAACCCCAATGTGCTCCTGAGGGCATGTGTAAAGTTGTGAAAGTTCAATATCTAGCATTTATTCAATTTTTTCCTGTGCCAAGTGGGTACTTTGTTTGTAAATAAAGAGGGGTTTTTTCACTTTCGCTCACTGGCATTCATTTTTCTCATTGGCAAAAGGGATTACTGAAGCCCTTCTCTTTAGAGGAAACATTCCAGAGCATTTTCTTCTAATTTTGTCTCTAAACCAAGACAGGGTACTGGAAGGATGAATGGGGAGCCCCTGGGATCATAGGGGTACTGAGAGGGGGAATGGGAAGCCCCTGGAATCTCTGGGAACAATAGAGAGGTAGTGGGAAGAGGAGTAAGGAGCCCCTGGGAATACTGGGAGCATTGGGATGGGGAGTGGGGAGCACCTGGGGGTACTGGGAGTGGGACAGGGGAACCCCTCGTGGTACTTGGGGTGGGGAATGGGGAGTGCTTAGTGCCTGTGAAACCCCCCCCAAGTTGTGACCTGCTCCCAAAACAGGATGGGAAAGCACAGGAGCTGTGGAGGAGGAAACCCCAGTGCCTCCAGTGCCTCCAGTGCCTCCAGTGCCCCCTTCTCCTCAGTGTCGTGGCACATTCTCATAGATGTCACTGTTGTCCCGTGGTTGCTCATGGGGTCGCAGAAGTCTGGGGTAGGTCACCAGGGGGTGCTGGAGTAGGGAGATGTGGGGGGGCCCTGCAAGAGACACCATTTGGCGGATGAGGGTGGGGGTGACACCTGTGGATGATGTGTCCCTGTCCCCTGTACTCACTCCTTGTCCTCTTGGTGATCACATCTTTGATGTCCAGCACCTCCCTCTCCTCCAAAGTGGCTGGGGGGACCCTGTGGTGAAAAGGGGGTGTTGGAAGGAGTCTGTAGAGGGAGAAAAAAGGGTCCTGGCTGGAGTGTCTCACTCACCTCTCCTGGGGCTTCCTGGCAGCTGCAAAGGAAAGGGTGGAGAAGGTGACAATGGAGAACCCCTGAGGGTCCTCAGGACCTCCAAACAACCCTGGGACTCCTACACCCCCACCAGACCCTTGACTGTCCCCAGCAACTCCTGAGCCCCCTGAAGCCGCACAGAACCCCTGAGTCATCTCTGCACCACCAACCCCCTTTTACCGTTGAACCCCCAGGAACCTGAGCTTCCCCAGACAGGGAGGGGCACCCCATAAACTGTCCCAGAATTCCTGAAGCCCCCTCAACATCTCTGCAGGACCCTCCAATACCTCCTGAACTCAACCAGGAGCGCCCAGTACCATCATAATATTCCTCAACCCCCCCCCCGAATGATACAGGAGCACCGGAAGACCCTCCGGAATCCTGAGCCAAAGTCACTCGATGCTGTCCCACTGTCTGCCCCCAATCTGGGGACCTCCCTTTGACCAGAGGATCCCCATCCATATCCATTGTCACCCACCCAGGTGGTGACACTGGTGCCAGCCCCCGATGTCACCTACGAGCAGGACCAGGAACAGCAGAGACCCAGACCTCCCAGAATCCCGAGCCAAAGCCACTTGTTGCTGTCCCATTGTCACCCACCCAGGCGGTGGCAGCCCCCAATGACAGCCAGGAGCAGGAGCAGGAACAGGAGGGACCCACTGACCCCCGCGGCCACTGCTGGGAACAGAGAGGGACACATCAGGGTCACCCAGAATCCGTGCAGCCAGGTAGCCCCCAAGGGACCCCCCATGTGACCCCACCTGTGTTCCTGTGACCATGCAGTGTCACTTCCAGTGCCAGCTCTGGGCTGGGTGCACGGAACACACGGTTCCCATCCAGCTGGTTGGTGGCCATGCATTGGTAGGTGCCTGAATGTCTCACATCAACAGTTCCAAGCTCCAGAAGGGGACCCCGGGCCACCTCCTGCCCGTTGTGCAGCCAGGTGAAGGTGACAGGGGTTGAGCCCACCTGCACGGAGCAGCTCAGGGTCACGGGGTCACCTGCATGCACCTGGTGTGACAGGGGACCGGGGGTGATGGTGGCATTTGCCACAGGCACTGTAGGGAGATAGATGGGGCTGAGACCGGGGAAGGGGCTGGCACCTGGCGTGCGGAGATACGGAATCTGCATGGTGGCACCTGGAGACAGAGGGTCTCCTTCAGCAAGGACAGTGACCCCATGGTTGTGGGGATCATCATGGGCTGTGTGATGAGCGCATGTGATGGATGAGGGGTGAGGGATGAGGATGATAGGATGAGGGTGAGGTGAGGGTGGGATGAGAGATGCATTGTATGGCCATCACCTTGTGGGGGGCATGGAATGGCGTGTGTGGGATGGGATGGATCCGATGAGGCATAACAATGGGGACATCATCCCAATCCCAAGGGTCTCACTTCCCTGGGAGGGTCACAGTCAGTAGGGTGAATGTGACCTGATGTGGAGTGGGGGATGTGCCAGCTGGGATTAGGGATGCATGGCTTGGATGTCCTGGGTGGGGATACCTGGACCCTGATGGTCCCAGTCACCTTGGTCTTTGACACCCAGAGGTGGGGGCTGTGACCTGGTCTGGGTTGGGGATCGTCTAGGGGAAGATGAGGTAGAATGGAAATATGTGGAACTGGAGATGCTGTGGGTAGAATCACCCTCAGCCCAAGGGTCCTGCTCACCTAGGACAGTGACGTTCAACGCAGGGCTCTCTGCCACATTGTTCCCATCCCTGGCCTGGCAATGATAGCGACCGCTGTCCTCGTCCCCAACATGGCGCAGCTCCAGGTGGGGGCCAATGCCCAGTGGTGCCCCCGAGCCCTCCCGGTGCCAGGAGAAGGACAGCGATCTGTCCCTGTGGCCACCACACAGCTCAGCACCAGGTGGTCCCCCAGTGCCACCTGTCCCCCGGGGGGCTGTGCTAACAGGGACACCCCCAAGAGTGGGACCCCTGCAAGGAAACACAGGAGGGATTTGGGACATGGGAAGAGTGGAGGACACCAGGGAGCAGTGAAGGACACAGGGAGGGGGAGGAGCAGAGAGGGGTGGGAGGATCCCTGTGAGGAAGAAGGGGGCCCAGAGATGGAGGGGAGTCTTGGAAAGGGGTGGGGAAGGCCCTAGGGAAGGATGGGAGATTTAGCGAGGGCACACATGGAGAGGGTTGACAGGAACCACAGGGAAGGTTTTGGGGACCCAGACAGGGATGGTGGGACCTGTGGACAATGGAGGCACCTCAGAGAGGGAGAAGTGCACCTAGGGAGGGGTTATGGGACCTGGTGAGGGATGTGGGCACTAGGGAAGGTGATGGGAGAGTAGGATGCAGAGGGTTTAGCAAGGATGGAGGACATGGGAGGGATGTAGGGGATCCCTGTGCCCATCCCTGCACTCACTGCGCACCGTGACACGGAGCCGGGCGCTGCTCTTCTGCACTGTCCCCGCCTCAGAGTGCACCTGGCAGCTGTAATTTCCCGAGGGGGAGACCCCCACAGCAGGTACCAGCCACTGTGGGGACCACTGCGGGCCCCCCACCACCTGCCCATCCCGGTAGAACACGTGCAGGAGGGGGGCTTGGGGCCGCAGGTGGCTGGGAGTGCTGAGGCAGCTGAGATTCAGGGGGGACCCCTCGGTGGGCTCAGGGGGCCCCTCCAGCACCGGCACGGGGAACAGCTCTGGGAAGGAGAGGGGAGGTGAGGATGTGACTCTGAGTCTGCTGGGAAGTGGCTTTGGGGCTATCAGGATATTGGAGTTCTAGCTATGAGGGTGGGTGCTCACCGTGCACTGTCACTGTCACCTGTGCTGATTGTGCCCACGATGACAGCTCAGAGTCCACCCAGCCCCCGCAGCTATAGCGGCCACTGTGGTTCAGCTGCAGAGGGGACAGGGACAGCTCGGTCCCACTGGGGGACCTCCCCACCTCCTCGTCCCCATCATAGAATCGCACTCCGGTGACCGACTTGTCCCGCCAGCGGCGGCAGCGCAGTATCACCATGTCCCCCTCCAGCAGCACCTGTGCTGGCACCTGAAGCACCAACCGGGCTGTGGGACAAAATGGTCCTGTCACACCAGGGGGTCCCATTTTCATGGAGACCCCCACAATGAGTCACACTCAGTGCACCAGGGGTCCCTGAATCCAACACCGAGATCCCCCTGCCCTGGGAGACTCTGGGATATCCTCAGTGGAGGGGATGGGCTCTGGTCATACCAGGAGGTGACCCATGAAGCTGAGCCCACTCAGAACCCTCGGGGTCCCTGCGGGTGATAGACTGCAGATACCCAAACCCCCTCTACCGTCTGAGATGGTCACGGGGGGACTGCGCCCAGTGCCACATCTGTCACACTCGTAGGTGCCACTCTCGGTGACAAGTAAGTGGTTGGGTCCCTCCTGTAGCCAGCGCTGCCCGTCCTTGTACCAGGTAGTGCCACCGGTGGTCCCTGAGCCCCGGCAGGTCAGTGTCACCTGGTCCCACAGCACTGCCGGTGTCCAGGGGGGTTCCACAAGAATCTGGAGGGTTTGGGTGCCTGTGGGTGACAGGGGACATCAGCTTGCAGGGCCACCAGGGGGCTGGGGACAGCAAGGCAAGGACATGGTATCTGCCAAGGACTCACCAGCAAGGCCAAGGGTCTGGGCTGGAAGAGAAAAGAGACAGGGCTCAGTGGGGGTGTCATCCTGAGGACAGAGGCACAGGGTCATGGGATGTAGGGGCTGTCCCCAAACTGTCCCTGTGCAGACACTGGTTTGACACAATTGTCTTGGAGATGGAGACACCGGATCTACCTCGTGCTTAGGCAGGACAAGGCAATATTGCGGACACCGCAGGCATGGGGACCCCATGCTGGCACAGGTCACCCCCACCAGCCCCATGGCCTCTGTCTCCATGGCCCATGTACATGGTTCTTCCCTGTCCCTGCATCCCTGTCTCTGTCCCCACAGCTGCCCCAGCCCCAAAATGCCCCTCCCCACATTCCTGTTCCTTCCTGTCCTGACCCCCATCTCCTGTCCCCACCGCCATCCCATGGCCCTGGTCACCTCCTGCACTGACTGCTGGCCTTGGGGACTTCAGGGGACCCCACAGCCCTCCAGTGCCTCCTTCCCACTGGTCTCTGCCAAACCACAGCCCATCCCTGGTGTGTCAGGCTCGTGCCCAGGGCACTCACCCCACAAGAGCAGCGCCACCTTCGCGGCCATTCCGGTGTCCCCAGCCATGTGGACTGGCTGTCACTCACTACTGGGGCCACTTGTGCCCTGAGTGGCAGCTCTTCAGATGAAGGGGAAGGAAGCGAGGTCAGGTCTCGCCCTCATGCGTAGGTTGCACCTGGTGGAGACAGGGTGGCCACAAGCGGGTGACAGGCTGTGAGCAGAGTAGGGACAGCCTGGGGACAAGGCTGGGTGGCACACGGTGGGACATGGGGTTCCCAGGAGTAGGGGGCTCAGGGGGTTTGGGGAGCCAGGGATTGACATCCCTGGGGAAAGGGGGGACCCAAGGATGGGGGCCCTGGGGAATGGAGGTCGTGAGGAGGGGGAGTCACCAGGGCTGGAGAGACTTATGAATGGGAGTCCCAGAAGAACATGGTCTCCAGGGATTTGGGGTCATGGAATGGTGGTCGAAGGGATGAGGGTGGATCCTGGGAGAATCAAGGTCCTAGTGGAAGGAGGATTTCAGGAGATGGAATGAAGGGTTCCCTTGGGAATGGGGGTCCTGGGCCATGGAGATCCTGGGAAATGGCAGCCCCAGGATGGGGGTCCCAGAGAGAGGGGGACATAAGGAATGGGTTTCCCATGGTCAGCTTCCCAGGAGAATGAGGGTGCCACAGTTGGGCAGTGACTGGATGTGCTCATGCGTCACAGCCCCTTCCCTGGGTGCCTCAGATTTTGGGGTGACCCAGGGCGTATCACTGCCTTCTGGGTTGCCAGTGGTTTGGGGGGGCACCAAAAGGGGAATCCAAGATGCTCTGAGTCTGTGCTCCCACACCCCCAGTGACTTTTTCCCCACTTCATTTCCATTTCCTTCCTTTTATCTCTCAAATTCACAAGCCCCCAGTTTGTGCCTTGATGATCCTGGGGAGCTCCTGAGCAGGGAATGGGTTGGGGGAACCCCAGGGTGGTGGAAGCAGGGGTGAAGGGTGTACAGCGAGGGCTGGGGAGGCTGTGGGGGATGAGGGTGCCTGGTTGTGCCCCCCCTCCAACACTTACACTTTCTCTCTCCTGCAGCAGAAGGAAGTGGCCATTTGTGCTGAGTGTCACAAAGTGGGGACAGGTTCTGTCCTGGGGGGGCACATCCAGGGAGGTCCTGTCCTGGGAGGATCCTGTCCCAGGGGAGACACATGCTGGACAAGGGGGTCCTTTCCTGGGCAATGGCAGCTCCAGGGGAAGGGGACCAGACTTCTCCATTCTTGCTCATTCCCTGCAGGATCTGAGCCAGCATGAGCACCTGGAGAATGGAGCCTGAAACAGGAAGAATCTCCCAAACTCCTCCTCCTTGAAGCCACTGGCCATCCAAGTGTGGGGCCCAGCCATGGCCCAGCCCCACTGCACAGGGATGGCCATTGGCCAGATGTCTCTGTCCAAAATTTCTCTCATTTGCCTCACAATCGTTGTGAAAAGGACAGAAACCGGGACCACAGGAAAAAAAGAAGGATCCTGTTTTGGGATCATGGTCCTGCTTGAATTGTCACCCACCAAGAGTTTGAAGCCTGAGCAAAGCTTCTGGCTTGCCAAGTCATTGTTCACAGGTGTATTTGCCCACCCCATGGAACACTGCACCCAGTGAAAGAGAAGGGGTACTGTGCACTTCTTTGCCTGCATCACTTTGTAACAATGGTCCTGGAATTTCCCCACCTCCCAACTTGGCTGGACTTTTCACTGGAATGCCCTTTTGGTGGTCTCCACGGAAGACCCTTCATCTGCCGGGGTCAGGATTTTCACCCACTTGACCCTGGCTAGATGTTTCTCTTCACCAGATAGAAGGAGGGCCGCTTGAATCCTGGATAATTTCAACTGATTTATTGCAGGGTCCAAAAGGGGTAGGAAAACACAGAGGGTAGGCTGAGGGACAGACGGTGAGTCGGAAGGACAGCAGGGATGGGTAACAACCAGCAGAAGGACACTAGGGCGAGTGCCCGGTCTCTGGGGAAAGTTAGTTTTTGTGCACAGCTACATGGAGGGGGATGGGAAAGGAAAAGTTTTCACAGGAGTAACTAATGAAAGATACAAAGGCTACAGGATGAGTGGGATGTGAAAGGGAGTACAACATTCGAACCATGGGAAAGGAATCAATTTTCCCTAACTTAGACAATGGTGCTTTCTCTGGGCAATCCTGAAATAGCTTTCTCACCCCTGACCCCCACATTCATCTGCTCTACAACCACCATGACAGATGGACTGAGATGGGAGAAGCCTCTCCCTCAAGGAATGAGACATGAGATCCCTATATGGAAAAGCTCCTTCTTCCTCCCAAGGAATGAGACTGAAATCCATCTAACCTGGGGAAGATGTGAGGAGGAGGCAAGCTGACCAAACCGAGATGTCTGCCTGACCACTGGACCAATGTTCTCGCCTACTGCTGAAAATATGGACTATTTGTACCCTTTTTCAATAGACTATTCTTTATTACATTTTATTTGATTTAGAAACTTGTTCCCTTCCCCTAATCAAAAAGACTATAATAAACGTTAGAATCCACTAGCATCTTTGAGATCTCCCCTAATGTGACTACGACAAGCTTCGTCAACTGGACTTCAAAGGACTATGCCGTTCAACGTTTGGTAGCTATACACCTTCCTTTCTCTCCCCTCTCTTTTCCTTATTCTTTCCCTTTTCTCCCCAATGCCCCATAACACATTTTGCTGTGGTCATTCAATAAAGCACATTGTTTTTTGATTATTATTGCAAACTCCCGTTGCCATGTCAGTTTTTTTTTGCACTCTGAGATCAATTAACAAACCATCACGATACCTCTCCATAAGGATGGATCGTGACACCAGCCTTGCTCTGGCCAGCTCCAGGTGACAGCCAGAACCTGAGGGTCCCGCCCGCCCCCTTGGCTTTGATTCTGGCAGTTATAGAGCTGCTGCAGAGGTGAGAATTCTGTGGGGGAAAAAGGCCTGCCTGTGGTTTGCTCAGCCCTGCAAGAAGCACAAAACCCAAAGGGAGCTTCAAGCAGTGGATCTGTGAGGGCCTTTGATGGTTTTCAGAGCAGGGCTGGCTGGAAACCCCCTCTGCAGGGGCAGCTGCAAGGGAACCAGTCTGGAAATGCAGCAACTGATCATTTGTTCCCTCTAGCCAAGGCACTGAGAGAGCCCCAGAACTACTACAAATACAACAACAATCTGCTCACAATCTGACTGGGTGCCTCCTTCTTGAGCAACACCTGCAGCTTTCTGGAACGTCATGGAAAGAATGTTTGGGTTCTGTTTCGGCTGCCAGGCAAGAGGGAAAAGTGTGGGAATATTGAGTGGGGGCTCTGCCCGCAGCCATGGTGGGGCTGTGAGGAGTGACCCTGTCTAGATTCCAGGTGTCCCAAAGCTGCTCCATCCTTGCCCTCCCGCCCTGCACAGGGCACAGGGAATAGACAGGGCTCTGCCCCGCCCCTGCTCGGCCCCTTCCAGGGCACCCCTCCACTTCCCAGGGCTGTGGGGGTGTTACGCTGGCAACACTCAGTCCGGACACATTGCAACAGTGGCTTTGGACATGGTGTCACAGTTGGTTCAGACTTCCCGTGACCGTCCTGGCACTCACAGTGCGATAGCAACTGAGCCCCTTCCTGGTGCTTTGGGACCACCATTGTGGTCCCTCCTTTCCACAGACCCTACCGCAGGGTCTTCCTGTCCGTCCGGCGGTCTCCCCTCTGCCATTTCGCTCCCTCCATGCTCAGGGCTCCCAAGTGGGGTCACAGTCCCTCCATCCTGGCCGGTCCCACCCACTGCCTCCCGGCCCCTCCTGCCACACCCCCCAAAGCCCCGGGGCCAGCACCGGCAGAGGCTGCTGAGCTCCTGCAGGATGAGACATTCCTCCAGCAACGCCGGGTGAGCGGGGCCTGGCTCCCTCATGCTGTCCTAGCCCACATCACTCGGGCTCCTGCCACCTCGGGCCTGTGGAGACTCTGAGAGGCATTCTGTGGGTTATGGAGACACAAGAAGCTTCCCTTAAAAGCTGTTATACCCCACTGGCTCTTTCCCTTGTTCCTATGTCCATCAGCCACTCCCTTCCTATTTCCCCATTGGGCCCCATCTTTGTACTGCCTGGATTCCACTGTTCAGCCCCTACCTCTCAAGACACAAAAATCTGCACTCTCCCCATGAGTCCTGCCTTTCAACCCTGAACATCTCACAACGTGGCTGAATTAAACATCTGTTGATACTATGCAAAAGCCCTTTTTGCTTCCTTACCCTGTACTTTATTAGCAGCTATTTTGGCTGCTACACTAGTCTGATCCCTTGCTATGTGCTGACCACTCCTGGAGAGCTGCCCTTTGTCTGGAACAAGCCCAGGAGCACCCGAATCATCCCCAAGGCCTGGGCTGGGACCTCCTGTGCAGCTCTGCCTGAGTCCTGAGGGGTTTGGGAGCTCCATGGGGGTCACTGCTCTGTCCCAAAATCTGGGCACAAAAGGAATGGCAAGCGGCGCCCCACCATGGGCCAGCCTTGTGGGCCTCACCTGAGCACCCTGCAGAATTCCAGGCAATCCTGCTCCACGTGCATGGCCAGGTGCTGTTCCCGTGGGCCACCTGCTCCAGACGCTACCTCCTCTGCCGCTGCTCCAGCTCTGCCTTCCTGCTCGGCCAGTGTGAAGCAGCAGCCACATGGTATAGGCACAGAATTGTCCCCATCACCAGCAAAAGCCACCAGAAAATCTTCCTTGCAGCTAAAAAAGCTCCTTCTGGGCAGAGCTATGGGTATCTAAACCCGAAATCATGTCCAATGCTGCCACAGCATCCCAAAACCCCCAGGAGAAGCAGCGGAGCTGTGTGTTTGTGCACAGTGTGAAAAATGCGTATTATATGATTGGGTCTTCGCAAATATTAAAGTGAATACTATATTTGTTATGTTGGAAAGCTATGCTGTATTAATCACTTTTAAGTAGTGTGGTAAATATAGTTTTTAGGCTATAGCATAATATTAAAATAGAATCTATATGATGTAAGACACTTTTGTAACTAACTCAAGGAATGAAAAAGATAATCAAGAAAA